CCTGGACAGACACTGATGGATCAAAGAAACCAGGAGTCCTGGTGGGGAAAACCACCAGCCGTGGAAAGAGCACCTGTTGTGAAGTAGAGGTTTGAGTTTGTATCTTTTTTTTTTTTTTTTTTAAAGATGACCGGTAAGGGGATCTTAACACTTGACTTGGTGTTGTCAGCACCACGCTCAGCCAGTGAGCGAACCGGCCATCCCTATATAGGGATCCGAATCCGTGGCCTTGGTGTTATCAGCACCACACTCTCCCGAGTGAGCCACGGGGCTGGCCCTGTATCTTTTTTTTTTTTTTTTTTAAGTGTACACATACATTTATTACCAACAACTCTCTCAACTCCAAAACTGGGCACAGGGATTAAACATAAAAATTCATTGCACTACTTAGTAAAGCATTATTAGTAACTTTCATAAAAAATGTACAAACTTTGTTAAAAATTTATTAAGCCTTCAAATGATCTGGTTAGAGATATTTATATGTACGTTTAAAACTATATGTTAACTGATAGAACAGAATAGGATCTGAGAAAAATGACTCAGCAAATTATTCCAAAAAACACCCCTGTGAACTTTCATAATCTGAAACAAACAGCAAAATGAGGTAACCAAATGTACCAACAGGGGGAAAATAGCTTTCTAATGAAGACCTAAAGATATCTGTGAAAAATATTCTCATAAGTGAGTTGGTAGTTCTCATTCAAAATTATTACAAGAGGCCCAACTTTAAGAATCTTAACAAATCACATTTCAGAGAGTATATAAAATCTAAAAATGGTACAGTGTACATTTTAAATCCAGAGTCTTGAGTCACATTTTCCAGATTTTGCTAAGAAAATAAAAAACAATTCAGGACAGAAAATCATAATGTTAAGATCTTGATATTTGGAGGCCTTGACTTGTTTTGTATCCTTTATTTTTCTTTTTGCCTACAATAAATGTTATACTAACACTTAAAAAGCCTTTACTAGGTGCCAGTCACTTGGCTAAATGTTTTACATACATTTATTTTTCTCCAAAAGCTGTCTGGACTCATAACCATTACACTAAACTCCTTTCTTTTTACCTTTATTTTCAATTCTTCTACAGTGAGTGTGGATTACTTAGGTAATTAAAATAAAAATCTCAGGAAGTCTACACTTGACCTTCAGGTCTCCATAGATTGTGGGCTGGGGGTGGGATGTGAAGGAGAAGTCAGATGGTTCAGGGAAGACCACTTAGTAAAACCCTTCTTCCTCTCATCTTGTAACTTTGAAAGATTGAGGCTCTATCTTCCCTACCCAGAAGTTACCTGGGGATAAGTCTGTCCTGACAATAAATGATCAGGTGCATGGAGCAAGAGCATAGACTCTTCCTATCTCCCGTGGCATCAGTGAACAGTGCAGATAATTAGACCCTCTGGGGGTGAGGTCTGGGAATTTGCATTTTGATGATCTGGATGCATATTAGTGCTTGAGAATCACTTCTCTGGGTAATTAGTCTCAATTCTGCCACTTATAAGCTATGTGGTATAGGGCAAATTATTTTTTTATTTTTTAATTTTTTTAAATTTTTTTTGTCTTTTTCCGTGTCCGGCAACGGATCGCAACCCTCAGTGTCGCCCCCGCACCGGACCGGGACCGGCAACGGGATCGCAGCCCTCGGTGTTGCTCTCGTGCCTCGCCCAGCCAGTGAGCGGGAACCGGTCTGCATGTGGGATCCGAACCCTCGGTGGGAGCGCCGCCGCGCCTCCCAAGCAGTGCACCACAGCAGTGCGCCACCAGGCTGGCTAGGGCAAATTATTTTAAGGTTCTATTTTTCCCTCAGCTCTGCGCTGAGAGGCCAGATAGTAATAGATAATAACAAATGTATAGAGTATCCTATTTCATCCTCCTGAGAGGTAAATGTTACTATTCCCACTTTACTGATGAGAAAACTGAAGTTTGGAGTGGTGAATTGATTTGCCTATGGTCATGACAGCTAAACAAGTGACATACCCAGAATTTGAACCCAGGCTTAGATCATAGAGAAGTACTTTCAAATTCAGTAACATTGACAGCAGTGATCATTATTTTCACATCCTTCGTGAGTACCAGACAGCTCCAATGCTTAACATGGTGAGGATACAGCCATGCTAAGGCTGAACTGGCTTCTTTCAAACTAGAGTGTACTTTATTATTATTATTATTATTATTATTTAATTTTTATTGAATCAAAATTGATTATGCATATTTTGGGGGTTCAATGTTGAGATATGTTGATCAAATCAATATTACTAGCATATATATTGTTAGAAATCACAATTATCCTTTTTTTTTTTTTTGTCTTTTTCGTGACCGGTAAGGGGATCACAACCCTCGGTGTGGTGTCGCCCGTATGATCTGTCCAATGCTGAGAGGTGTGATCAGCTCCCCCAATATTATCATAGAGCAGATTCTTCTGTCACTCTGGAATGGGCTTTGTGGAGAGAGACATACCCTTCTTTTCTTTATCTCTGCTGGTGTCTCTCCTTGTGTGAATGCACTCCAGTGGCTGGCAGACCATCTGTGTGGTGATTGTGGTGTCTAGCTGCTTTCGTGGCAGCCATGGTTACTGTGGTAGCTGTGGTGGGCCACCCACATGGAGGTGATGTTTTGGGCATGCTCTTTGCCACTGACGGTGTGCCTGGTTGTGGGGGGGATCCAGCCCCTGGCTCCACACCTCAGGTTGCTGGGTGGGCCCTGAGGCGCTGGCGTGGTGTGCCAGGTTGTGGGAGGGGGGGTCCGGTCCCTGGCTCCATGCCTCATGCCCCCTGGTGGACCCGAGGCACTGGCAGTGTATCTGAGCCAGAACTAATTTTTTGTCTTTTGCTTACTTCTTTTTTTTTTTTTTTGTCCTTTTTTGAGACCGGCCGCACCGAGCTCAGCCAGTGAGCGCTGTGAGCGCACCAGTCATCCCTATATAGGATCCAAACCCGCGGTGGGAGCGCTGCCGTGCTCCCAGCGCCACACCCTCCCGAGTGCGCCACGCCCGTCTTTTGCTTATTTCTAAAATGGGGAACTTTCTGTTGGGACCAGTACTTGAGATCTGTGGTTTAGCTAAATTGCTGTTTTGCTGCTGCTTCCCTAGGGAAGGCTTTTTGTGCAGCACAGGTTATAATGGTTGACTTTATAGGTACTTCCAGCTCTCCAGAGACTCAGTACACCTGGGTTGTGTAGAGTGTACTTTAAATTTTTTGTTTTTTGGCGGCTGGTACAGTGTACATTTTAAATCCAGAGTCTTGAGTCACACCCCAGAGATTCTTATTCACAGGGCTTAGTTGGCAGGGGGCAGGGCAGAAAAACGTTTCCCAGTGGTTCTGAGGCTGGGGCCCATGGAGAAACTATGATTCAGAAACAGTGGAAAGGAAGAGGACTTCCCTGATCGCCAGTTTAAAAGGATACCCCCTTTATCACTACCAGTGCTTTCTCTTTTCTTCTTTTACTATTGGACACAAGGTCCAAATTGACATTGATACCCAAGGGCTTGAAGCATCATCATGGCCACCTGTAAAAAATAGGGGCATGGGGCATGGGGGTCAGGTAATACACAGCCAGCCCAAAGAGACAGCAGGTACTCAAAATCAGGGGCAGAAATGCCTTTAAAAGCCATTACAGGAAAGGTAGATTTCCTTAGATCATGTTCCCAGCTTCAGAGGAGGGGCCCTAGCCACAATATCCCTCAGTCAACTCCTAGTATCTTGAGTGCTAACTCAATCCAGGGCTCATCAGTTTGAAGCTTGATGCAGAAGACACTTTTGGTTTTAATTCTTTGAAAAGTGTTTATAAGAAGCCATCTCATTAGGCAGTTGAACCATCCAAATCACTTCCCCTTTTAGGGAACATTGGTATTGTCCAGATGCAAAATTAACATTACACTTATCTTGATGTCCCTATTTATTTTTGCTAGCTGGTACAGGAATTGAACCCTGGACCTTGGTGTTATCCACACCATGCTCTAACCAGCTGAACTGACCAGCCGAGCACATCCCTATTCTGCCAAGCCCCAGGGCCAAATGTTCAGCTTGAGAGCTCCTAATCGAGAGGGAAATGGGGAAAACCATGATCTTGGATGAATGGCTGAGGGAGCTGGGCTCGTTAATCTGCGGAACTTGAAGTAGGGAGGCTCCCTCTCCAAATTCCCAAAGGAGAGTGACTTGTGGGAGATTAGATATCATCCAACTGGGTGTATTGGGGAGAAAACACAAAGCTGATTTGGTTCGGTAGAACAAACTTTTTGTACTTAGCCAGTTAGATAGCTGGATGCCAGTATGTGGTAAACTGCTAGTTCAAATAGGTTCCAGGCAGATCTGAGTGACCTTGAGGCAAGACAGACGTCAATTCAAATCCTACCTCCACACTTACCCTGGCTGTATGACTTCAGGCGCAAGTAACTTAAATCCCCACTCAGTTTTTACCTAGGAGGACATCTGTTTTGTATGTGTGCACAAAAATTTAGAGATAATGAACATTGCATAGACCCAGGCACACAGCAAAACTTGTTGTTTACTACTGTTGCAGACCTTGGTTTTTGTGGCTTGGGCTAAAATTAGCATATTGGCATTTCGATATGGCAGAAACTCATTCACAACTAGCTTAAGCAAAAAGGGGGATTTACTAGCTTACATAATAGACAAGTCTATAGGTGGTACTGGTTTCAGACATGACAAGCATCCATCCCACATCTGCCTCTCTCTGCTGGTTTCATGCTGCAGTAATGCTCTTTCCTCACTGAGGGGGAGGATAAAGTTGCCAGTCCCTCAAGTTCACATCCTCACCACTTAGCAACCACAAAGCTTAGCTATTGATCCCAGGGAAGACTGACCCAGCTTGGGATGCATATCTGCTGTACATTCTGATGAATGGCACATGGAAAGGGCAGGGTGCACAGAATGCACAGCTCGCTACTAGAGGGAGAGTGAAAGAGGCAACACAGTCAGAACTAAGTGACTGCTCTGTCTCTAGCCTGGGCCCAAAGCCACAGTAAATCAATCAACAACGCGGTTTCTGCTTTAAAAAAGAACAAAAACAAAAAACAACTTTATTTGACAAAAGACAAAAACAAAAGTTATTTACAGTAGTTTTTTGCTTAAAGAATTCGATGGGACAACTGTGCTTCTCCTCCAGGTTTATCTTACAACCAAACCCAAGCAGAGGCTGCCCCACCCCAGATGCCCCATTTTACATAAGGGGGGAATGCCCACCAGAATTCAGCAGCATGGCTCCCTCACCCCTCATCACCTCCATTGCTCAGTGCACTGTGGGAAGGAAAATCCTACCACAGCCCAATACACTTTCAGAGTCCCCTACTATCTGCATCCTGCAAGTCACACCAGACCTGGGCTCATGGACATGGTTGGAGTGGAAAAGATGGGGCAGACAGCAGCTTCAACTAACCTTGAAGCTGCCTTGTTCATTCTTCCCCAACTGGGCCTCAGGAGGGTGAGGATCCCTGATCCCCCCAGGGCACACAAGGAGAGGGCACAGGAGGAAGAGGCCAGAGAGCCAAACTCCCTCTCCTTAAGCAACCAATTCCCACTCCCACAGCAATGGATGGGCCAAGCCACTCAGAAGTGGGGGAGCCTCCCTGAGGGCATCAGGAATCTTTCTAGAAAGGACAACATGTGTTGCTGCCATTTTCTCGGCCAGGCCTACCCAAGTCAGTCACTACCCAGCAATCCTTTAGCTTTGTGCCTGACCTGCCAATTTCAGGAAACTACAGGCTGGGACTCCTGACCTATCTTTTGGCCCAGTAACAACGTTATTCAGAACAAAAATATTTCAGCTAATAATAACCTAGGATTAGTGTTTCTTAGGATATATAAAGATGGGGTATGTTGCTGTTGAACATTCAGCAATGAAACAGCAAAGTAAAAAATGGGGGAGGGGAAGAGAATAAGACCAACCGTGGTCTGTTTCACTGGGAAGTTTCAGGGTAGAAGACCCTGCAACTCCAATTTAAAGAAAGGCGAAACAAAGACAAGGCTAACTGGCTTTTTAATCCATTTCCAACCCCACCGTCCTCTGAAGGCAGTTTCTCAGACAGCTGCGGGCACATTCCCTGCTTCCTCTTGGAAGTTTCCTGCCACCATTGTGGGTAAAAGCCGCCTGTTCCAGTCAGCTAAAACTTCCTGACCAGTAGATGGCTCACTTCTCTCCAAGGAGGAGATGCCCAGAGCTTCTGACATTCTGATCCTACTGTAAATCAAAGCAATTCTAAAGTCAGTTTGCAGGACAAACCATTCAAGAACAAAAAAGGGGAAAAGGTAGAGAAAGAAAAAAAAAAAAAATCCACTGCTTCAGTCTAGCTTACTTCCCTCACCTCCCCCCAATACAGTAAAAACAGAAACAACAACAACAAAAAATAAAACACCTCTCTGGCTTTATCACCTTCTGTTCTGTGCCTAGAAGGTTTAGTCAGATTCTGTTGGACTCTCTCACTGGCTTGTGGCTTTATCCCCTTCTGTGCCTGATGCAGAAAAGCCAATGCCCTTAAGTTTTTTCTGCCTTTTTTTGGTAAACCAAACCAACAATAAAACAACCATTTGGAATTCTGCACTACTGCAGAGATACATCTGGCCTCCAGAACAAAAATACTCCTTCCTTGTAAAACAATCCCTAATTGCAGTAGTGGATCATTCCCAGTTATCAGACTCCATCGTATGATGAACTCCCATTCCCCACACCTAGGCTAACTACCCATGAATGCAAACCACAGCAAAAAGGGAAAAATAAACAGCTTAGCAAAAATCTAAACATTCAACTGGAGTTGGTTCTTTTATATCTGCTGGGTTCCTCTTTTCTTTTGTTCACATTTATGAACTTGGAATGTCCACACCTGGCTTGACAGAAAGAGGCACAGCTCAGAGGCAGCTTGGACACAGCATAGGTCTGAACTTGGCTGGAACAAAGGTGTCCCAGGGACTCTCTGGAGAAGCAGCAGCAGCACCATGCCTGTCTCCGATCCCTTGGTCTCGTCACTGAGAGAAGGCCTGGAGAAACGGCAGAGTCAGCAAAGGAGAGGACCCATCACAGTGCAGCAACGCCAGCTGGGCCTTCCTGCTGACGACCTCTGGACTGAGGAGATGATCCCAATGTTTGGCAGTGATCCATAGAAAACCCTCCGTATGGAAGGGAACCAAAACAGAAACCCAGGACAGCTGGCTTGAGCCTTGAGCACCCCTGTTGGCAGATGCCTACTTGGGGTTTTCAGAGACTAAAGGGATGGGAGTGTGCAGTAATGGGGGTGATGGGTCCTGCTGCTTCTGAAGCTCCATCTCAGCAGCCCTCTGTAGCGCCACCTCCACCAGCAACTGGAAGCTGCTGAAATCCTCCTTGTCCTGCTCTGGGGGCGTGGGTGGTGGTGTGTTGAAGAGTCCACCTGTCGGGCTTCCTGCCTCAGCCCTGGTCAGCAGGGTGAGTGTACTACCAGGGGTCGTCAGGGGCTTGGGGGGCTCCAGCTCCCCCTGTGGGAAGGGGGCTGCTGGCTTTTCCCCCTGGCCTGAATGGAGTGGCATGGAGCACACAGACAAGGAGAGCACGTTGGTGGGGGCTGGTACAGACACAGCCAGCACTGAAGGGTTGCTGCCACGGGGGAGGGCCACATCCGAGGCCTTACCCCCGCGACGTGAAATCGTGAACTGATTAGGGTCTTTGCCGTCCTTCCGAAGCATGTCTGGGAGAAGCCGCCGCCGGGCATTGATGAACCAGTTACATATCTGGAATGAATGTAAGAGACTGCAATCAGCTCACTCAATCAGAAACAGCCATGAAGCACTTGCTATATTCCAGGCCCCAGGACCCCAGCAGCAAACACTACTGACATGATTCCAGCCTTCACAGAGGTTCACAGCAGGAACAGATAGTTAAGTCAGAATTCACACAGACAAATATACAATTGCAACTGTGATTTGGCCAGTGAAGGGGAAGTACATACTATGGTGCTGTTGGAGACAATGGGGCGACCCAGTCTAGTCTATGTGGACTCAGAATTATTCTCTGAGGAAGCCGAGATCCGGAGGATAAGCAGTTCAGATGGGAGGCGGTAAGGGGGTAATGGCAGATGGCAGCAGAGTGCCCATGAGAAACTCTGAGAAAAAAGGCCCATGTGGCTGGAGCTTAGAGTGGTAGCTAGAGGTTATCTGTTCAGGAAAGACTTGGCTCCGTATAATACAGGAGGAGGGTTTTACACAAAAGAGTGACTTGCTATATGGAGAATAGACTGGAAGGAGGGAGATGGGTTAGTAGTTCAGGTTATGATAAGGAGGTAGCAAGAAGAGCACAAACGTTTGCTCTATTTAGGAAACGAAATGGCAGGAGCTGCTACCTGGTTGGATGTGGGTGGAAGAAGAGAAGGGATGATGTTAAGAGAGACTGACTCCTAAGTTTGTAGAGCAGAGTCTTGCTGCAGGCTGTAGAGAGAGCCACAAAGGCACCCAGGGACTGTCAGGTAGATGATTATTATTTCCCAGCAATACCAGGACTACTGGCTCCGGTTACATGTGCATTCAAACAGCATCCTTAAGTCTTTTTCCCATATGCTGCTGAGAAAGCTACTGTTAACCTTGACCCCATTCCTACGTAGTTGATTGTTTAGATCAATCTTTTTGGACCTATACATAAGGCATGAGATTTCTCACTGTTAAGTGGTATGCTGCAAAGCTCAAGGCACATGTGGTTTGGGGGACATATCTAGCATCCTGCCCCTTATCAGTCTGGATTCTTTATTTATTTATTTTTAAAAGATGACCGGTAAGGGGATCTTAACCCTTTACTTGGTGTTGTCAGCACCACGC